ACAAGACTGAACTGAATAGCTGACACCTAAGCGTTCCAAAACAATTTATGGTATAGAAGCGTGTAGACGCGCTTCCGATGATTTTGGCGTCTATTTTTCATGCAAAATAAAAGGTGCCTAATCCTATGTTACAGTTACATAGCAGGCGAAATCCGTTAGGTCGCAACGCAACTATAGTTACGTTGCAAACTACCTGACCGGCCAGGTAGTTTGCAACCTAACTAGTTACGTTGCAAACTAACAGACCGTTCAGTTACTTTGCAAACTAACTAATTAGGATGCCAACTATACCTAGCTCAGTGGCGGCGGAAGGTATTCTAGGATAGGGGTGCAAACGATATTGAAGCGCCCCTTCCCGCTGGGCGCCCCTTACCATGCCGATGGCCGTCCCTGCACTGGCAAATCAGTTTCGCCCCTATACAGGCGCCCATAGAAGTTTGCAGAGTGCTATTCCTGGTCATAATCATCTCCCCAGTAAAAAAAAAAAAAAAAAAAACGCAAAATACGCCCTAGCACTAGGGGTGTAACCGCCCATACGGACAGTGCAATTTTACAGGCCCCAATCTCGGACCTCCCTTAACATTCATATGTTGTAAACGGCAAACCGCCCCCGATAAATGCTACACAAACTAATTTCCTCTCGCATATCGGCCATCAGGCGCCCCTTTTTGTCGCATGGAGCCTGCAACGCTATAAGCCCTCATATGTTCGTGTTGGCGTTCGGAGGCTATCGCCTTCAAAGACGTCTCCGTAAATGTTTCTTTTTCGTCCCACACACAGGCGCCCCTCTTTCGCATGCAGGCGCCCCTCTTCCGCATGGCGCGCTTCTCGAGTAGCTGCGCCCTCCTAGCCTTTATCGCCTGGCAAGATTATATTCGACAGGGTCGGCAGCATCTGCCTTTGTTTCAGATAAGGATGCCCTCCACTCTTCAGCTTATCAAAAGATACTTTTCCCACGTCATTGCCACCCTCTTCGTGTCACAAGTGCCTTTATCAGTTGCGGTGTCGCCTCGCACTGCTCAGCTTTATGGCTGCCGCACCTCTTAACTTCCTGCCTCCTCTACAGATTTTCGAGGCGCCCCTTTCCATAGCTTTAGGGTGCAGCTGCCCCCCTTGCCCCCCTGCTTCCGCCGCCACTGACCTAGCTCCTACAGCGCTTACGGTTTCTATGTATGTGGTGGCACCGACTGCTCAGTGCTGAGAGCAGATACACATCGCATAGTTTTCTTGTTTAAAAAAACTAATTCTTCACAATTGAAATTATAGTATCGGATTACCGATTCACGCCGGTCACATATATAATAAGAAATCCCGGGTGACGCGGGCGCCAATGCTGCTGTCCTTGGCGGAAATGGTGGTGCTCGCTGCACACTGATTCCCTGATCCAGATGATCCAATAGTCCAGCGTTGTTCCGCAGAACTGGTCCCGGAACCAGTCAGCAGTCAGTCACCATCAGGTAATGGGTAATACTGGTAATAGGTATGTAGGTACTGTACCCAATTAATAGCCAATTTCAGTCGATTCACTTTTGCGATGACTTTGTCGCCTTCACACCTGCCCTGTCGTAATAACCGTTCGTGGCTTTTATACTATCGTGGGTATGATCAAGGTACGTACGGGTGATGTCCCACTTGCAGTTACTTTTCTAATTTCTTGACAAACAATTAACTTCATGACCTTCGGTCACATTAGATTACTGTTTACAGTAAAAAGTCGGATTCGAGACCAGCACCTAGCAATATATGCTGGTAAGTGGTTTGTAGGTACATCAAATACATATGTATGATGTACGATGCATGATGCATGAAATGTCGTATGTTCCTATATACAGTCCACAGCAGAAGTAATGTGTGGTTTCAGTCATGGGTATGTTCTGCTTCTAAAGCCTAGTAACGATTAGCCAGACTGCAACGAGGCTTTAAATGTAGCTTACATGTATCTTCACCCTTGCAGCTACAACTTTATCTATTGACGTCTTTTTTTCAATCAGTCCGCATTTAAAAATCGTCGGTCAAAAATATCCGTTGAGATTGGTAAAACCACACATTACTCTAGCGGTGGGCTGTACGTATATCAAATTTAACCCACCCGCTGTCTCATGTTCATATTCAGCGAGATTCAGCCCGGATTTAGCCCAGATTCGGGACACCTCAGATCAAGCTGAAACTTGCACACAATGTATAGAACGTGACATACGTATACACAACCCACAGTGCGAGTCATTCGGTGGTACTCCCAGCCGTTTCGCCTACAGAGGTCAGCAAAGGTCACGTTGCCCAAATTTTAACAGCAGTTTGTGGCTGACTCAGTCAGTGGAGCTAGAGCGCCAAAAACGGCACCAACGACTCGCAGGCATCTAATTTTACTTTTTCACTAGCAATTTGACCTTCCAACGTCATGTATTGACCGTAAGGTCATTTGCTGGTTATTTCGAAAATGCACTCGCACAGCGGTTCTCAAGTATATGGGTCGACCGAATTCCAAACCAAGACATACCATCGTGAAGCCCATGAGACGAAGAAACTTTAATAAAAACCGCTTCTCGATATGTGACACCGTTTGACCTGGACAGGTCAAAATGTAAGAATCTCCGACTCCTACCTACGTCGCAGCCCGGATTCAGCCTAGATTCGGGACACCTTATGCAATTTTCGTTTAGTGTAGATCGGCATGGGAAGACAGAAATCCATTATTTACATAGAATACATACAGAAGCACAGAGAAGGATTTGATATGCTTTTACAGCACAGCAATACATTGGTTTAGTTCGCTGGCAATGGTAAAAAAGCAAACCTCGACCAGGACACACGGTCATCGCCGTCCATCACCCAAATGTCCGTGTCCATGTTTTATTGTCCATGTACAATTTTAATACAGCACCGTTTTGAGACATCCTTGCAGACACGGAAAGCAATGAACTACTGACGTCAAAGAGCAGGAATTTACGCGAGCTAACGAGAGACATGACATCGTCGCAGAACAAATCCAAAAGAGTGCAGACAGCGCCAATAGCCATGCCAATTATGACTGTCAGTTTTTATCTGTCACGAACATCCAGTGAAGCTTCTAAAATAAGAAAATAATGAAAATAAAATAATAGTAAAATAAAAATGATTTTTTTAGGTTAATTTGAAGATGAGCTACACTTCGTCTTCCACAATATCACGAATGGGGTCGAGCAATGAAGCGTTGCATTATGTTTGTGGCAGGTGCAGGTAGGTATGCTCCGTGGCTTAGTTGCGACTTGCGAACATTGATAAGTACCTATTTATCATTCATAAGCAGAATAATCCGCCCAAAATTGTTGCATAAGTACCTAACCAAATATTTTGCATTACAACCTGTACCTAATGCTATAGTAGATTTACTGCATTTATTCTGAATTAACTGCATACACGGAACTCCATCACGCACAATCAATCACGTCGCCTTAAGAAAACTGTAAAAATAACACATTTACCATGGTTGTGTCATGTGTGCGACTGTTCCTAAATTCGTTACAGTGCGGTTAGACAGCGCCGCACACTGTGCTGTTTAGTGGTTAGGACAGCTCCAAGAATTCTAGTTCCGGCGCGGTGGCCAGCTCGTTCGAAACTGTGAGCGGCTGAGCCCCAAACTGCCCCCGCTCCGGTCGCGGTGTGAGCCTGCAGAGCTCCAGAGCCGGATGTATCTGCCTATGTTCCGACAGCGGATTCTTAGTCTGAGGCCAGTGTTGGGTTGACTTGCATAACAGACGTCACAAGTGCATAGCACTCTTTGTTTCCTTCATTATGTTTGGAACTTCAACATTAAAAGAGACTTCTATTGTTCGTTCCAGCCGTTTGTCATATAAGATTTTCAACTTCATACTTATGCACAACATGGTTAAATCGATAAAACTTCAACGATAACCTTATTATGCTAGGTAATTTTGTCCTAATGGGCTACTTCTATTAAATTCGCTGGACATTTCGGACACATTTAACTCTGGCTAAGCGGCAAGCGCTCTAACAGCATGCCTGTCGTGTTTATCCCCACATCCGGCAGCGTCCCGGTGTTCACCGACGCACGTGCATCCTGTTTCTTCCCACTCGAGCGCCGTCCGGTGGCCGGGCTTCCCTGGCGGACAGTTGTTCGGCAGCGTAATCCGCAGCGCCTCCGAACACGACGTCTGGCGGCGCCAGGAAAAATGGCAACTCGTTTGTGCGCACCCAACCGGCAGAAGAAGATTTTGTTGGACGAGGCGTCAGGTGATATTTGGTGATATTGTGACTCGTACTGTGCCTTTTGTAAGGCGGACCAGCCGCGGCATGTGCCAGCACGCTGCATTTACAAAATGTCGAGGTGATGACCTACAGTCATTAGCAGTAGCGGCGGAACACCTTCAATTAAGCGGGGGCACTGCCGACTTTTGGTCCCATTCTTTCCATGCAACGCCCATAAGGCTAAAGTTAAAATGCCAAAATCAAAGGGGGGCACGGTGTTCCGGTGCCCTCCCCGTTCCGCCGCCTATGGTCATTAGCATGCAGAAATGAGCCCTAGCAATCGTTGAAGGAAGTCATCCTCAATCGTACAGTTGAAGGATGATTTGTGAACATTAAAAATTCCTATTACGGTATGAACGTAGAAATACATTTGGCAAAATGATTTAATTAGCGCAGAGTCACACAGCTGGGATCAATGTGCGTTAGCGGCTTATCTGGTCGAGTGAATCTGCTCTGCGGCTCTGAGAGCGCCCCGAGCAGCTCAGCGCGCATATCCAGCCCCTGAGATACCGAGGGAATCCCTCTGTCGCCGCGGTTCCGTCGACACCGGCGCCGCACGTCCCCTAATCTGCGGCGATTAGCGGGCCGGGGGACCGGCGCGGCGCGGCCGGCCGGTCTGCCCAGTGTCACCGGAGTCAGGTCCGGGACAGGTGTGATCGGGGGGGGGGGGGGGTATGAGAGTGTTCCGGGGGGGGGGGGGGGGGGGCGGTATAAGAGCGGCTGACCGACTCGAGTGGCACTCAGAGCAGCTTCTCTGCCCGGTCGGTCCGTTAGCCAGCTATACTCACGATGCAGGTGTCCTGGGCGCTGGTGGTCGTGACGGTGCACTTGGCGACCGCGCAGCACTCGCACAAATACTTCCGTTTTCCAGTGTCACCAGGTGAGAGGGGCGGATCAGTGCAGTGGTTTGGTGATCGGGCTGCGTGAGTGGTTAATTCCGAAAAAGTGACCAATGAGTAGGTAGCCATTTTGTCGGCACTACAGGACGGAGTCGAAAACTTGGCGATGGCTGAATTGGCCACAGTAATTCCCGCTAAACTGAGGCTGCGATAGAAACAAATAACAACTCGTACCTACCTAGTACCTATATCTCTCAGCGAATACTTTCACATATTTTTAGTTTTTTTTCCTTGTCCTCATGCCAGCTTTATCCAGAGGAAAACCGCTGACTCATGGCTGCGGTTATTTGTTGCCCAGTCACCTGTACGAGTGTGGCCATCCGCGCGAAAAATAACCACTTATGTGAAAAAGCATTGGCCACTGGCCAGGCTGAATGAGATTTTCACATCAGCGGTTATTTTTTTTTGGGGGGGGGGCTTGATTGATCAAACTTTTTTCGACATTTGGGCCTAAAATAATCGCAGCCGGCGATTTTTTTTGTTGGTTAAACTGTCCTCACGTCAATAGGTGCTTGGGCAGTCGAAGACATCGGGACAATGGTCGATTGCAGAAGAAATCATGCTTCGGCTAGGAAACAGTGCCCGTTTTAACCAAGGCTGTTACTATAATACCATTAAATGCCACCCTTATAACCACTATTGCTCGAACATCTGTAGTTGTTGGCGTCACGAGCGGCAGTGAGGAGAAGGCCGTGGGGCGCTGCCAGCCTGGCTGCTAACTGCTGGCAGCGCCACAGCCTAGCTACTGACAGCACCACAGGTCCCAGCATTACAGAGGGCGCTGTCAGGTCGCCTAGTCGAGAAAGACCGGATACCTACTGGCGACCCACCAAATCGCGCTCGGGCAAAGAAAACGTTCACAGAGCGAGCATGCAATGCAGATGACGCCATACAAAACGTGCAATAGCAGACTGTTCAATAATCATGGCAAAATCGCTATTGTGGATCAACGTGCAACACAGCACCACAAATCCATCACGTTGCCAAAAAAACTGACAGCTTTTACTGGATTACTTTAAAGGTATGTAGTGTGCCACCTTTGAAAGATTTCCCATTTTATTTTTCCTAGGATAAGAAGCTTCTGTTTTTACCTAATATCGCAAAAAAATCAAAAATGGGCCTGGAATAGTGCCTTTTTCGCCTAAAAGTTTATCGGTTTTTGATATGTATAACAACTGTAGTGGGCTGACCTGCAAACAGGCGTCGGCAACAATCGCGAATGCGGCGCACATGTGACAATAAGCAAAGGTCATTATAGAGTTACGACGTACGGGAATGAGTTATCAGTTGTCTAATCGTAGACAACACAATGTCGAGCCTTAAACTGTAAGCCTGTATTGGTATTGTTTCTTTTATTTGGCTGTCGAACATTATTTATGGTTTGAAATATGATTTTATGTAAAATAATTGATATGAAAAAGCCGTCTCTTAAGTTATGACCCCATTTCACCACACGCAAGTGGCAGAAATGACAGTGATCAGCTGACGCATTTTTTTTTTTTGGCCGAAGTCAGAGCGCGCGGCCCGACGCACCACCCACGGTTCGTCGGAAGGTCATCTCAGGCTCAAAAGAAACGATATATACCATTCGAAAGCTGACGGTGAGCTGAATCTAAAAATGTAATTTTTATCAAAATCGATCGATGGCCTTTTTTGAAAATTGCGTTTTTGTAAAAACTTTATAATTTTGTATTCAACGGGCTGTCACGGACATTCTTGAAAACATAAACATGTATTTTTTAGTTCCAGTGAAAGCTGAACGCCAAAAGAACAATATTTAGCGAAGCAATATTTCCAAACATTAACCCTCGCATGTGTGCGGCGTTTGCCAGCTTCTAATGTGTAGGGGGGGGGGGGGGGGTCGGTTGGACCCCCCCCCCCTTGCCGTTTGGCCCCTGATCGAGCTAGAGCTTCGCGGAAAAAACGAGCGTGTTGCCCGTGACGAGAGGAAGCCGATGATACCCAATTTTAAGGTCCTAGGTCATTGGTTGACCTTCCAGGTCAGGTCAATGACCCAAAGTCGGGAAAATCGGGACCTGTTAGAAAGTCGTAAAGTGTGGCTGCTGAGGGGTTTTTCGGGGTGCTGATCACGAATATCGTGTTAGTTTTGATCACAGATGATGTCTTTAAGCATTTAGACCAGGTCGGGTCAGGTCAGATCAGGTCAACCAGTAGGCGTCGTGACGGGTATTCGTAGTACGTGTCAACCGCCTCTGACAGCTTCGTAACATGTTACGAAGGCACCAAAACTACTTCGTAAATGTTCAAATGGTTGCTAAATTCGAATTCAGCTCCAAAAACTAGCCTAGAAACATCAACATGTAAAACTCGAAAAAGTGAACCGAGGTCACCCGAGGTCACCAAAGGTCAATGACCTGACCTGACCTTCAGGTGACCTTGACACCCACCCTAATGCATGGAAGCAACATCAAATCACATGTTTGAACGTTTGAAACCACGAAAAGCTTGCAAACGCGCGGCTAATGCGAGCCGACATACGCAGAATCGCGATTCTGGCCAAACATGGTCTCGGAAAAGAGGTCACAGGTCAAAGGTCATTTGGGTCAGGGTCATGAAATTTTCAGGGTAGGTGTAAAATTGATCAATGTGAGGGTACTGAAAGTTTCGTCGCGATCGGCCGCTTTTTACGCGAGTTATTCGCGAAAAACCATGGGGGGGTCCATCCGACCCCCCCCCCTACACATGCGAGGGTTAATATGCGTCTCCCACAGCCGACAATAAGGCGCAATTACACAGCTCAATGTCACGATGGACCAAAGTCAGCCACACAGAAGCGTGAAATGACCCTTAGCGACTCGCAGACCCGGCCCTCTCAGCCCGCCTGACCGGCCACGGCAAGGAGGTTTGGCTGTCGTTCTACTAAACAGACGTCATATTTGTCAGTTTAACGATTCACGTGGGTACTTAAGTTATTCAGGAATCAGGATACATGAGCAGAAGATTCATTGCTCTGTCATTTTCACATCATGCATTAATTTGCATTTGTTCATGTCTACTTTGCTCAATTGAGCTTGGTATCATGCCTATATAAGGAAAATTGGCCGCGCTGAAATGTCAGAGGTTGTACCGGCCTCAGCTCGGGTGGAGTGGGGGTAGCGCCCGGTGGGGCAGGGTAACCTTTGACCGGTCGCACGGCCGAGCAGCTGTCACCAGTACAGCCTCTGACGGTGGAACCCCGCTCACTTCCCCTGCGCGGGCACTGAGCGCAGCTGGATGGAACAAAACATGTATAAGAAAAATGTAAATTAAAGCATGTCGTAAATCAAGCAGAACAATGAATTTTCTTCACAGGTATCCTGAATAACTTTAATAGCGATGTACAGGGGCGGCGCCACGGGTTTTCGATAGGGGGGGACGGGGACCGAAAATCGAAAATCCCAAAAGTAGATACTGATCGATACTGATCGTGTATGCAAAAAAAAAAAAACGAGGCACGTAACGCCGCGAAACTTGGCAAGGCCCAAAACACATCGAATGGTGCATCCCGTTTCCAAACTTATCCTAGGACACCTAAGATCGATCACCTTTTCAAGCATCCTTGCCTCTAAATCAAAATTTGCAGTCTTGCCAACTCAAAGCTGGTTTCCTACAAGCTGCGAATTGCTTAGGTATGAGGGGTATGAGTATCAGTGCCAGCTATTCTTACGTTTCGTACTTTCAAATTTTCGATCTTACGTCTGGTCAGCTTCAGGGCTTCACCATCATATAGTCATGGAGGAAAAGTGGGAGTGTCTTCTGCTCTGACAAGTGCGCCAAAACTGCAATATAATTTCAGAATCATGACATCACCACCTGATCCATATGCAACGGGCAGGGTGCAGCTAATGGCTAGCCGTCAGTGGCCATGTCATCGGTGGTCACTCAAAAGGCCATGCTAGGTCATGGAAGGTCACCAGCCGTTATTTGATCACACTTTCTGATGGATTTTACTTGCCAAGAGCTTCGCGGGAAAAACGAGCGCATGCACCGTTGAAAAAATTGAGTGAAAGAGTCTCAGGTCCGGCTACCTCTGCAGGTGAAATGCCCCAGGGTAGGATTCCGGTCCTTGTTGATTAACTTCGTCAAAAATCGCAGTAGAGCTGTGATGTCGGCACCATTGTGTTCGTCATGATCGAGCTGGCACGACCTGCATCGTTCTCATACTCACCCTCCAATCGTAACAACTACAGCAGGGATTGGCAAATGGCGGGGCACCCCCTTTGGGAGGTAATGAAGGTCTCTGGAAACCTCAATCCCACATCTCTTTAGCATTAGTGGCTCTCCTTATGGAACAGGTTTCTTGACTGGTCTGTTTCACCCCATAATTCAAAGACTAGTCAAGGTAAAACCGAGCGCACCACAGTGAGCACAATTTGATAAGCTGGTGTATCTCAATTTTCATGTAGAACCTTTCACGTATCACGGACCTAACACCCTTTCGTGCACTCATGCAAAAGCAACTGCCATGTTTCAACACCTGGTAATGGCATTTTCACAGTCGCTGACGTAAGAAGGGGAGGGATGGGGGGCTCGATTAGACCCCCAGCCGTTCGGCCGCCGACCGAACTTAGTTTTGCAGAAAAAAAACGAGTGCTATCGAACCCCTTGACGAGAGGGAGCCGATGCTATATCCAATTATAATGTCTTGGGCTACTGCGTGCTTTTTTGGTCCTGCCTGTGATCTATCCGAACACTTCTCCCCACAAGTGCTGGGGTTAAATGGCATAGATTTCAAATGGTTCCTGTGGTAGAACTGCCATGCTTGAATTTGACTAATTAGGAATGGAAATTTTTCATATAGTAACGGAAATCTATGGAATTTCAGTGAACTTGGTTTTATCGGCAATGGGGTCTGGCAGTGGGGTGGGGAGGTAATAAGTAATAACCCTGCCTGGCGCCCCAAAAAGGGGGCACGATCCCCGAGGCCCTGCCGATCACCTTGTAACTACAGGCATCACAGCTCCACACCTTTTGCAGATGGCCAGCACCCCCTGCGATGCATCCCAACAGCAATCTTTATTCAGAACCTGCCTTGATTAACCAACGATGCATTAAATGCGACGGATAGCTCTATAATGCATTATTATCAACTATTGAACGGGCCTCGCCGATAGGGGGGTACTGTACCCCCCTAACTTGTGATAGCGGGGGACCTGTCCCCCCCGTCCCCCCCGGTGGCGCCGCCCATGGCGATGTAGACAGTTAAACTGACAAATATGACATTTGTTTAGTAGAACGAGAGGCGAACGTTCTTTCCGTTGCTGGTCAGGCGGGCCGAAAGCGCCGGGTCTGCGAGTCGATAAGGGTCATTTCACGCTTTTGTGTGGCTGACTTTGGTCCATCGTGACACTGAGCTGTGTGATTGCGCCTTATTATCGGCTGTGGGAGACGCATATTAATGTTAGGAAATATTGCTTCGCTAAATATTGTTCTTTTGGCATTCAGCTTTCACTGGAACTCAAAAATCCATGTTTTTGTTTTCAAGAATGTCCGGGACAGCCCGTTGAATACAAAATTATAAAGTTTTTACAAAAACGCAATTTTCTAAAAAGGCCATCGATCGATTTTGATAAAAAATACATTTTTGGATTCAGCTCACCGTCAGCTTTCGAATGGTATATACCGTTTCTTTTGAGCCTGAGATAACCTTCCGACGAACCGTGTGCACCACCGCACCACAAAGTATGAGCAGAAGCCGCGCCCAAAGCCAGGGCCCCGGTAACGTGACGTAGCCGAGTCGGGGCAGCGTGCGCTGACCCAAGCCGGGGCCGCAGCTTTGGGCGCGGTCTACCGCATCCCCGCGGGCAGCCCCGGGCTATCTGCATGACACCGGGAGGACGCGCGGCCCCGGCTTGGGTCAGCGCACGCTGCCCCGACTCGGCTACCTCACGTTACCGGGGCCCTGGCTTTGGGCGCGGTCTACCGCACCACCTAACAGGCGTGTTCGAAACCGCAGGAGATGATGATGAACGGGTTTATCGAAACTTGATTGGATGAGCATATCGGTAATAGCGATTTCAGTGTGTGCATTTATTGTTCATAGTGGTGTGAAATGTAGTTGGGGTACGACCGACAACCCGTCGGGGCGAATTTCGCACTGGGGTACTCAAAATTTGAAGAATTTAAGACGTTTCCATGAGTTTTGAAGGTATGGATAAGTTCTAAAAATCCGGTTCTCCTTATCTGGGTCATTAACTCCATACGGTCCAGGAAAGCTGGCACACTGCCTTTAAGCCAATCTGTACGCATTAACTATGCCTGTTATGGAAGGAAGAAGCCGAATTTACTTTATGAGGTCGACGACACTATAAGTTCAACTGAAGCACATAACTTCCCTTACGTGCTAAACGCTTTCCCCGCCAACACATTTCTTACCAAAAATGACACAACTCTCTTCCTTTCCAGCACACGAGAACGAGTGCCATGACCCGATGGTCGATAAGTATTTCGCAGTTGGCGAGGAGTGGGGCCCGAAGAACGCCAACTGCAAACTGAGCCGGTGTCTGCGCAACGAGAAAGGACTCTTCATCGACCGGATCTCGTGAGTAAAACGCGCCTGGCGGGCGCTTGCCCATTATATAAGGATGCGCCAATCATCGCAGAATATTGGGGAATATAAAAACACTTTCCAGATGCTCAGTAGCAAAACTAAAGGTGTGTTCATCCGTAAATAGTCCCGATACCATGTCCACTGTTACAAATGTCTATGTCAAGAACGATGAAAGTGCATTACATTGATCAATGTTGCACCCTGCTTCATGACCTTAACTTGAAGCACCCTAAATCTGATGAGCTAGACTGAGCCAGACTGTATACGTACCAAAATGTGACCTGACCCCCATCTACCGCCCGCTAGGTGTGACCGTATCCGGGACAAGATTGACCTGCGTCAGGTCAAGGAGCGCCACCTGTACTGTCGTATCGCCGCCGGCGACCGCCGCCAGCCGTTCCCGGGCTGCTGCGAGCAGCTGGTCTGCAAGAGCCGCGAGGGCGGCCGCAGTCGGCGGCTGACAGCTGACGAGCTGCCGCTCAAACCCGACGAGCTGCCGCACCAGATCGAGTACATCGAGTGACCGGTGCACCGGTGACGTCACTAAATCTGCACCAGTGACGTCATATAAATCACACTTTTGACGTCACATATGCACACAGTGCTTTATGTTTGTACCTGTCGTGTATTTCTGTATTCGTATTGTGCTTACATCATGCAAGCGTTATGTGTGTATATGTTTGATAATGTTTGAGCATGGATGCATGCCGTACCTAACGACAAAATAACGGAAACTATAGGAAATATAGGTATGTGATAAGGAAGAAAGAAAGACAAACAATGCATAATAATAGAAGGTTTCGGTTTCCCGATGGTGTCATTACAGTTCATAGCAACTTAGATAGCATGACTTTCGTAAAATGACAGAGATAATAATTTGGGAGTAACTAAGATAAGCGAACATGGTGTTGTAAGTTATTTCACTGTAATCTATACGGTACGACTACTCCTATGCTACTGCAGCTGGGCACACGGTCTGGGTAAGCAGAGACATCACCTGGCGACATTCATCGCCTGATCACCGAACCTGCGAACATCGGTTCACACAGAACACATTTACATGAAGACGCGGTACAAACATGATTTTACCATTGTAATCAATCTCAGTATTTCACTAGAACAATGCCTGCCATCGGGTACACACTACACGCTTCGGTGCACTTAGTCGGAATAAGTAGGTACGGGATGAAATTAGCGTCGGGGGTGTACCAGGAAAGAGCGCGTGTCGCCAATCGGGTACGATGCGGAGAGGAACACAATGTTTGGGCCTCTGTACACCACGAGGCTCAAACTCCAGCCTTGGCCCTGGATGTCCTCAGACAATAATTAACGTTCTTGAGCGGTGGATTTTTCTTAAGTAGGTACGTTTCCTCCTAATTGGCTGATTTTAATGGTTCTTAGAATGGATATGTCATAGTATCATGAAGGCATGCATGAAGGCAATGAATTCAAAGTATGCGATATAAGCAATTATTCCGAAACATGTCGATATAAATCGCAACATAATCCAATACATAAATATGATCAGCGGTATTAGGTATAACCCATAGGCCATAAGCAATGTAACGCGGCCAATCAAATAAAGCCGAGTTTGTCTAAAATCACCAAAAATATACAAAACTATGATATGATATAATATATATCATAGGGAGGAGAGAGAGAGAGAGAGAGAGAGAGAGAGAGAGAGAGAGAGAGAGAGAGAGAGAGAGAGAGAGAGAGAGAGAGAGAGAGAGAGAGAGAGAGAGAGAGAGAGAGAGAGAGAGAGAGAGAGAGAGAGAGAGAGAGAGAGAGAGAGAGAGAGAGAGAGAGAGAGAGAGAGAGAGAGAGAGAAAGAGAGAGAGAGAGAGAGAAAAAAAACAGCGGAAGAGAACAATGGGGCTCTCCTTATGTCGAGCTGAAGCGTCGAGATGCTGGGCCACATCCGCAATAAAGAGCTGAGATCACAGCGCTTATTTAAGGAGATCATTAGAAGCAAGGGGCGAAGCAACTAAAGACTTCGATGAATCGACCAACCAGTATATATTTTTTTTCGTCATGTTTACGAAGACCGTACCCATATGTTTCGAAGAACACGCCCAATTCTAGCCACTTGTCATTCCCGACTTAGCAGCAGGCATCAATCAAAACATTTTCTCCAGATTTATGACGTCATGGTTGCATCTGCTGGCCCAACCCTACCATGTTTTGCTATTTTCGTCGTTCGCCTGTGACGTCATTTGTCTGAATTTCCGCTGAACACCCGTCACCGTCTCGTTCCGCGGAATGGCCCGCGGTTGGCAATTTGTGCCGCAGATGGTCGACCCGTTGCCGGCAGTAGCGACCCCAGATGACCGGCCAAGGCCCTACAACCGGTGAGCTCGCCGCAGATACAGAGTCCGCCGCCGGGTGAGCAGGGATGGGAGAGCGAGTTCCGAAACATGGGGTCACTGGGGACGATTTCGGATAATATGGATAATATGGACATATGAAATTTTTCGTAGGATGTGCGTCCCTATGGGTATCTTTTGCGTTTTGCCCTGTGATCACCAGCAACAGACAAACAAGGCAGGATACATAAAAGAGAGAAAATAGATAAAGAGTTGAACTCTCTTCGACATTTAAATCATTATAGCCAAAAATATATCTATTGATATTTCGGCCAAACTGTTCTTCTTCAGAATGAGACAGTGTACACAATTGTACGAGAATACGAGAAAACAACAAATGATATCGAGAAAATAGAAATATTGTATATACTGCCAACTAGGTACCTCTAACAAAATACATAAATAAATCTACCAAAAATAGTCGATAAAACTGCCAGGAATTAATCCAAACGGGGAGAAGTTATCAGGAATTTATAGACGAAAGCTTTGAAGAGCTGGTTGAAAGTTCGTTCGAACAAGGCCGTAGTCGGCAGATACTCTGTCTTTCGACTTTTTATCGCATAAGGTATTTCGAAGCCACCTCACGAGCCGTATAAACGTTCAAACGTTCTATTAGGATGCATTAATTATGTGGCACTGCAGGATTGTGAGGAGCCACAATAACTATCATTTCTTTTCTCCTCCGTGGGTACACACCACCAAGTGTCGCCTGGAGATAAAAAAACAACAAAAACAACATCTCCTAAAGCCTAAGTGATAAAGAACGACATTCTATCACACCACAACACATATCATTCAGTTGTCGTTTCGATTTTCATCTGGAAGTAATTTATCATTTGTATGTACAAAGTCTCCCGAATCTCTTCCAGCAACGATTGTATTCCATAACACAACTCATTATTACGACACGACAGTAGATCAGTCTGTCGCCCCCGTGACGTCACACCCCTCTGATGACGTCTCCCGCGGCGGCCATTAGGAGTAGGTGACCTGGTCGGGCAGCACGGGGTACTCGGAGGACGGGATGCGCACCAGCCGGCTGCCGACGCGCTTCTTGCAGAGCGGCCGCGGGCAGCAGCCGGGGAACGGTTTGCGCCGGTCGCCGCTGGCCTGGCGGCACAGGATGTTGCCGCCCTCCTGCGTCTGCGACAGCTCCTTCAGCTGCGCGATGATCTGATCCACCGGGTCACACCTGCCGCGCGTCGGAAAAAGGTCAGACAGGTCAGATAAAGGTCAGACAGGTCAGAAAAAGTCACCGGGTCTTACCTAACGGACAGTTCACAAGTGAGCAGTGGCCGAGCGAGGTCAGGTCAGAGAAACATCATAAGTCAGAGAGACGTCACAGGTCACAGCGACGTAACATGTCAGCGAGGTCACAAGTAAAACTAGTAACAGGTCAGAAAGGTCACAGGTCGGACAGGCTACAGGTCAGATAGGTCAGAGATCAGGTAGGTCACAAGTCAGAGCGAGGTCACAGCTCAGAGTGGTCACAGATCATATAGGTCACAGGTCAGGGAGGTCACAGGTCAGGGAGGTCACAGGTCAGAGAGGTCCCAGGTCAGAGAGGTTACAGTTAAGCAGAGGTAACAGATCAGAGTGGTCACAAGTCAACGGTGGCGGCAGGACAAGGAATATGTTTTTTTTTTGTCTACGAGTATTGTGAGTAATCTGGCGTCCATACGTACTGGACGCGATCGATGAAGAGGCTGTTGCCCTCTCTGACGCACGAGCTCTTCTTGCAGTCGTTGGTGGTGGTCGCCCAGGAGGAGCCCACGCTGTAGAACTTGTCCGTCTGGTCGTCCTGACACTCATTCTCGTGGCCTAAAGATGGGAATTGGAATACTAGTCAGCTTTTCAGGAAACAATTTATTTAATGCACTTTATTCGCAAAAAGAAATCGTTCACGCATGGCACAGGAAAACGGGTCAATACTCATGATGACTTAACGGTTGCAACATAAAAAAATGGAATTGATAATGTTCGTTTGAGGTTTTCCAACAAGAAAAGCGACGAACCACCGACGGCATCGCCAACCGAAGTCAGTCCAGACTCCAAATGCACCTTTTAGATTCCCAGCTAATTTCACGGATATATAGTTTCACTTACCGGGCGCCACGGGGAACTTGTAGTAGCTGTGCACGTGCTGCCCGTCGGCCAGCTGTAGCGCTGCCAGCGCCGTCACCACCAGCAGCTTCCACATCGTCACCGTGGTCAGAGACAAACTGACGATCCTACAGCGGCTGAACTTTGGGAGCGGTATGGGGCCGCCGCCGCCCGGCCGGGCCTTTTAACCGCTGCCGCCGCCCCCGCCACCCGCGTGCCCGGGAGCTCTGCGAGCCTCACTGGAAGGAAGAGCACCGAAACCGGTCCCCGGCCAGCCACCCGGCGACCAAACAACTCGCCGTCTCGAAAACACGAACAGAGTCGAGCACCTTCGTCAGTCGGCGACTTATGTAGCTGCGCACTGGTTTGGTAAGTATGCCTAGTGCCTACGTGAGAAAGCCTTTGGTGAGTAATTACTTAGGTATGCCTACCTTTCTGTGAAACGTTAACATTTGCACGGGGCACAAGCATAGGTGCAGAGGTTAGATATATACAAATTAAAAAGGCAATGTTCTAAAACCCGTATGTCGATTTTTGTCCTTCATTTCATGTATATAAAATAAAAAGGTATTGAACAGGTATTGATATTTCCGCCCATATAACACCTTACCTAGAAACTGGACAAAAAAAGTCATAGCATTGAACAATCCGAAAGCCTTTGATTGAACATTTTTTTTTTTAGCTCCGATGTAGCCCAGAAGACGTATCAGATAAAATAAGCATGTAAGCATGTGTTTTTAGAACTGATAACAAACGAGGGACTTTGTGCACGCTGCACCTCTGAGGGCACTCGCGTCCCTTCAGGTTCTTGTGTTGCAAGCTCCGCAGCCCCTTCTCCCCTGAATGCACCCATGCAGAAGGCTTACCCGACCCTGTGAGTACATAGTTGCTGAGAGCCCATTCCCAAAAGGAGCGTGCCGCTCAAGCTATCCGAGCCCGCATCAAAGAGACCCTCCCACCTTCAAAAAGTTAATGAATTGGCATAAACGTGATTTAAGTACCATGGTTCATGGAAAGAGCAAAAATGAATATCTACCAAAGTTCACCGAAAAATATTCACCGGTTTTTGAGATACTAGACTTTTACTTTTGTTTACTTTTTGCAGCCTACGTTGTTCCTCGACGTCACTTGGAAGCAGTAATTTGGCATCTTAAAAGTGCGGCAGATGTTGCGCGCAATGCAGCATATACCACCACAGCTTTACAAAGGTTTTAGTGAAAGATTTTAAAATCGCTAGACATGCGCTGACGTTACAAATTCAGAGGGGGCATTCAAATGCATTAGCCCCTCTGTATCCAAGTGAAAAGAAACTTTGAAATAAAATATTTTTGATTTAAGGCATTTTTCGACGTTGGGAGTGCCCAACCAGTGATTGTGAGCTAGGGACCCCAGTTAGGCTATCTCAACTCAAATCTAATGTTAAGGTGGGATGGCCACATTAAGCGGCTCGCACATCTTGAGAGCCGAGGATTAACCAAAGCCGAGCGGAACACTGCTGAGTACTGGTTCTCAGTAGGTCTCGGAAGCGGGCCGGTCGCCACCATGGTCGCTGGGTAGTGGGCGGCGTTCCTCCCCCAAAACTCCCACCAAGGTCACCTGGATCAGCACGGCCCTGTGCACTGGATATTAGTCATATTTAGTCTTCTAAGACACACCGTCGCATTAGGCCCTAAGACATTTATGTAATGTGGTTTGTACGAAAAATTGTATAGATAAACGAAACTGGCAATTCGTTACAACCAATACTGCATGCACCCTCTGACTTTTTAATAGCATTGACATCAGACAGGTCAAATGGGAGGGCTCGGCATTAGGTCTTTAAATGAGTCATCCGGAGCTTTCTTATATTTTTTTTAAAGATAAATGACGTAAGCGTAGCCAAGCTTTCGCAACCTCCAGTGATCTCAATCTGAACGAAAAAAAGAACGGAATATTTGCAAAAGTAGGTACTCGTTAAAAGCTGACTATTTTTACCCGCTTCTATCTATTCAAGTTTTCGTGTTATGCCAGTTGCCCACTTTGACCCTCCTTCATCATGGCAAAGTGGGCTGTGACCCCCACTCGTGAGACGGTCGCTAGCTAGTTAATTGATAATGGGCTAAGTGGATGGGCATTGGCCATCCTAACACTAATAATGCGCACATAAATAATATTTGTATACAGGCAAATGCCTATATGCCATAGCATATTGCAGGTAATCCCCCACTCTTTCGTTCGATATAATCCCAGCCGTCCTTTTCAATCAAAGTCGCGTTTGTGGAGCGTATGGTCAATCAGCTAACCAAACCGACTACTACATTATACCGTGCATTATACCTATTGAGGCATGTGTGCCTACCAAAAAACCAGTTAGTTGCGGCCCAGAAACAAGAATGCGATTATATCTGCAAACAATGACTGTGTTTACAAAGAAAATGTCTCCCAAAAAAGTTTTATTTCCGTGTATTTCAGCTCTCCGCCGCCGAGATATGGCGGATGCCGCGGAGTTTAGGACATAAATCACGACCGGTTGACGTCAGCGTGGCTTCTAACTAGTCGCTAAACTCGCCTGCATTGACTGCACTGGTCAACTCTGCGGTAGGCGCGCGCCGGAGCCGCTTTTAGTTCCGAGGTCACAGCCTGCGGAGTGGCCGAGGTCACGGTCATCCTCCACTGCCGGCTATTAGGCTCTGCCGACAGCCAGCTCAGCACTGTATGGTGGCACGCACAGGCTCGCACACTGCCTGCGCAATGAGCATGCGAACGTGACTTTGTGGTCTGTAAACCTACCTGTGCAGTTAATGCGGAACTGCTTGTCGGGGCTGGATTCTATGCAGGATTATCAATGCGTCAAAGCAACAGAGGCATATTTCTAGTTACATACTCGACACTCGTATCTGACGGGGAGGAACATCAGGTAGGGGAGGATGCAGGGTAATTTGGCAGGCAGTATAATTTGACCGCCCCCACCTTTAACCCTCGGCCTCACATGCCATTTTCCCATCCTAGAACGCACATGGGGGGGGGGGGGGGGTTGCCACCCCCGCGCCATTTCGTTCCTGTTGGAGATAGAGCTTCGCGGTAAGACTAAAAAGATTCTTTGGGAAGAGACAAATCCAATGATACCCAGTTTTACCTTCTTAGGTCAGTCATTGACCTTCCAGGTCAGGTCAAACTAAAAAATGTTGCTGTTTTGGGTCACCGTTGGATAACAAATGCGCTGCTTATCATAGACCGATGACGATGACGTTTTCTGGTGCCAAGCCAGCTAGAACCTCTTTGTCACACTACCCGACCAGGTTTTTGCTGCTGAAGTCATTTCAGGTCAAGTTAGGTCAAGGTCAATGATATGTGTTTGTATGTCTGTGTGTGTCTGTGTGTATGTATACTGATGTGTGCACCGATTGTTTACTTATAAACCGGCTCGAGACAGCTCTCCAATCGATGTTTAACTGGTTCTGCGCACACCGTATGAAAGTGAACGAAGCAAAGACTGAACTGATGATGGTCATGGGAACGAAGCAGATGCTGAGAGGTATTTCTAGTGTGAACGTTCAGTTCAACCAGGCAACAATCAGATCGTCAAACCATGTTCGTAACCTCGGTGTGATTTTCGACCGTAGCCTTGACTTCCAACCTCATGTCGATCAACTCGTTCCGAAATGTATAGGAATGCTCCTCGGCCTAAACCATGTCAAACATGTCATACCGATCGCGACCTTGAAACATCTTATCACAGCTCTAGTCTTCCCCGTGCTGCGCTATTGCATGTCAGTTTACGGCATATGTAGGGGAAGTTGGGGCAATGCCGGAAATGGGGCAAAGCCGAAATTCGAGATATTTCGAAAACCGTACGACATGGATGCCACCTGTCAGTGATGCTCTGAAGCTTAAGTGACTACCAATTATCGCATGTTTGTTACCAGTCGTCATTCGGAATACTTCGGCTGTGAGGGCGCCAATAGCGTTTTCAAGGTACGTTTCCTTCGTACTACATGCGTCTTCGAAGCTGCATTTCCTACTCATTATGCTACCGTTTGTGTGGCCAATTCGGTCAAGTAATCTTCAGCACGTCTTTGCATAAGTGTGCTGCATATTTGAAATTTGTACAGCACGTTGAAAAGTTATGGGCCTGCAAATGAATGTATGGCTGGCTGGGGTAATGCCGAAAACGTGCATTTACACACGCTTCGTGAACTTTACCGCTGTAGAATAGCAACGCGTATTTTTAGTCACACAAATTACACTTTTAACCGACACAACGGCCTGTTACCATAAGGAATGATTTACCTGGCCTTTTCTTATTATATCACACAATTATAACTTCCAGTGTGCACCAAGCGTCCTCAAGCTCTTAAAACGCGTGTCAGCTTTGACGAATTCTGGATAAAATTTGAGATAAAATAGCAAAACATCAACTTCAGCATTCCCGTAGATCATTTCTCCCATTTTCGGCTTTCCCCGCAGTCCGGGGCAACGCCGAAAAAGTCACTTCTTAGATATTTTTAGTTTGTGCGCTTAACGGTATGCGAATTCATCAAATGCGCCTGGTATGTTTGAAAGGCAAAAGACTGGCCTCTCGAATGACGCCAACCAGAATAGCTTATGTTGTCTACCTTGCGTGCTACGGGCGTCAGAAAAAAAGTATTCGGCGTTCCCCCAACTTCCCCTAACAAGGCGCAAGTCCACCGCATTCAGAAGGTGATTAACTTTGCCGCACGAGTGCTCAGTGGACGCCGCAAGCATGAGAGCATATCAGATGTTGTGCGATCGCTCGGGTGGCTAAATGCTGATGAACTGATCACTTACCATAGAGTCATCACCATTCACCGACTGCTTACCGATGATGTACCGAGGCCAGTAGTCGCGACTATCCGCCCTCCCGCTCGTGAGCAGCACAGCCATAGTACTCGCACTGCTGATCTCCTCACAGTGCCGCGTATTCGCACAGAAGCGGGACGCAGTCGGCTGTGCTTCAGTGCCGTGAAGTTATATAACTCTGTGCCTAGGAAGCCTGGCATGTCTATCAAAACAGCCACCAAGCAACACCTGTTTGCGTGCCGTGACGAGTGAGTTGTGGTAACGTTTGATTTTATTTTATTTTATTTTCCCATTGTTTTGAATGTATCGGTGTAAATGCTCCCTATATCCGTATGCTTATATTATTGACGTGCGATGGTGAAAAGCCCCTGAGAGCAGTGGACCTTCGTGAATATACATTCTGATTCTGATTCTGATTTATGTGTCCATATTACATGAAATCATGATCTGAGAAGCTCTTAC